ATGGTGGCTCCGTCCACCCCATGGTGTTCTCCGTGGGGGTGATCCACGGGGGGGGGCTCCGTCTACCCCCCAGCGGCCTCCGTGAGGGCTCCGTCCACCCCACGGCGTCCTCCATGGAGGTTCCACCCGCCCCACGGCGTCCTCCGTGGAGGTTCCATGCACCCCATGGTGTCCTCCATGGGGATGCTTCATCAGTGGGGGCTCCATCCACCCCACGGCGTCCTCCATGGAGGTGCCACCCGCCCCACGGCGTCCTCCCATGGAGTCAGTTGACCAAGAGCTCCTTCGTTAGCCGGGTTTGGCGATGCGCGTTGACGAGGGGCCGGGCCGGGGCTGGTGACCCACACCCCCCCCATATCTCTCTTCTCCCCACAGGTGTGGGGTGGGCGAGCAAGGAGAAGGAGAAACCCATGGAGGCGCGGGTGAAGGTGGAGGACGACCAGAAGGAGGAGGAGGAGACGGCGCGGGGCGAAGACCGGGAGAGCGGAATCGGGGACGGACGGGGACAACCCCCCGACGTCGGGAACGAGGATGAGCGGAGGGGAAACGAATCCCGGAGGGACCCCAAATCCCACCGGAAGCCCCACAAGTGCGAGGAGTGCGGTCGCCTCTTCAACTGGAGGAACCACCTCACCCGCCACCGCCGCCTCCACACGGGCGAGAGGCCCTACAAGTGCTCCGTCTGCGGGAAGGGCTTCAACGACGGTTCCCCCCTCCTCATCCACGAGATGCTCCACCGCGGGGAGAAGCCCTACAAGTGTTTGGACTGCGGGAAGAGCTTCAGCCAAAGTTCTCACCTCATCTCCCACCAGGTGGTCCACACCGACGAGAAACCCTACGTCTGCCCCGACTGCGGGAAGAGCTTCGCCCGACAGCAGTATCTCCTCATGCATCGACGGGTCCACACGGGAGAGAGACCTTACGAGTGTCGGGATTGCGGGAAGAGTTTCCGGAAGAGTTCCGACCTGGTCAGGCACAAGACGGTCCATACGGGTGAGAAACCCTTCAAATGTCCCGTCTGTGGCAAAGGTTTCACCCAAAACTTCCGCTGTAACGCCCATAAGAAGGTCCACGGCACGGAGAAGGTCGACCACCCGCCGTCTCCGGCCCGGAGCGCCCAACAGAGCAACCGGGAGAGCGCGGTTCCACCAGGTGACCTTCACACCTCCTCTGGGTTCTTTCCACAAGTTTGGGGCCGTCCCGGGTTCTGTGGGGTGAGAGCTTTGGCGGGTGTGGGGTGGGAAGGTCCTCGGGGTGTGGGGAGTCCCTGTTCGTCCACCCCCGATTTTCCGTGGAGGGGGATGTCCCGTCTCAACCTTCTCCTCTGTCCACAGGTGACGGCGGCCACCGAGAGGAGGTGGCCTAGCCTGGCGCG